ACGCATGTATGCATATTTGTATATATAGATATATATATATATATTTATACACACACTTATATATACAAAATATAAAAATAAATAAAATTACATTTTATGGCAGCTATTAAAGATGATGAAGCAAGAGTACAAGGCCGGCGCGATAGGGGTGTGTGGGGGGGGGGTGTGACCCCCCCCCCCCCATCAATGATTTTTAGTCGGCAAACTGGACCCTTAGATTTTAAGTCGGCAAATTGGACCTAGTTAGTCGGCAAATGTGGACTCCCTTTCGATATAGGTTAGACAGTCGGCAAATGTCGTCATGACAGTCAGCAATTTTTGGAAAACGAGGACCTTTTTTTTTTTTTTTTTTAGTCGGCAAAAGTTGTAATGACACCCCCCCACGTGACACCTACTCGCGCCGGCCCTGCAAGAGTATATATATATATATATATATATATATATATATATATGTATATATGTATATATATACATATATTTATATATACATATATACATTTATGTCCATATATGTATATATATATATATATATATATATATATATATATATATATAAATTATTTAATTAAGAAAACAAATAAACTTTAACTTAGAGAGCTCTTTCAGTTTAAGCTGATTAAAGGTTAAACTTATGAAAGTTGAAAATTTTCTTCCTACTTTAAATTTTGCCGTTTTTAATGAGATTTCTTCTTCTCTTCCTATTTATAATTTGTTTCTTTAAAATTTTTTTAAATAATTAATTCTTGCTTATCATCAAATATTTAAAATGATTTTTTAAGAAAACAAAACTTTATTATCAACCTTTGCTTTTGTTATAATCGCGTTTTTAATTGAATTAATTTTATGGATTCTTTCAAAGATTTATCTTGTTTTCGAGAGAATTACCAGCAAATCTGACAACCATAGCTTAACTACGAATTACTTTTACAATCGCGTAGTTACGAACTAGATAAATTTGATATATATATATATATAAATATATATATATATATATATATATATATATATATATATATATATATATATATATATATATATATATATATATATATAGGTATATATATGTATATATATATATATATATATATATATATATATATATATATATATATATATATATATATATATATAAAGTTTCAGTGCATTGTTTAGAGCTCCATACATAATATATGTCGAATAAATACTAGGCTAACTTGATCTTATAATGTATCTTTATTTTTGAAAAAAAATTATCAAAACAACAAACATTTCCTATTAAAAAAAAATGTTGTTTAACTCTGTAACGGTGTATTTTTTTATATGATAATACCATATTTCATGAAACTATGGTTTAGTTTAACCTCATAAATCAGAATACCGGCTTGAATTAAGTTTTAGGTCAACCAACTTATTATTTTGTATGCTATATATCAAATTATAATAATTATGAATTAAGATTTGAAGATTTCATTTTGGATTGAAAATGGGATTTTACCTATGTAATCAGCGGTCTACAATCATGCTGATGGGTGTTTTGACCAACAAGTTTATACTTTTTATATTTTTGTGTGGGCACTGCACCAAGGTTTGTTAAATAATACCATTTAAAAGAGTAACTCCATTTGTATTTTTTTTATTGAAATATTCTAATAATGTTTCGCATTTAAATGATCATAATTCTTTTAACGTCAATGTACATTGTAAAAGTAGAGAAACAATGAACAAAGTGCGAGTCCAGAAGTAAAGTGTATTCAGTCTAAAGTCTAATAATTTTCTAGCACAATTCCTAAGCCTTACCAAAATATTGTCATTTGTTTTGGAAGGTTTTGCTTCTAAAACCTGGACTGACTGATAAAGGACTAGGAGGATTTATTGCCAGTAAGAACATTCAATACCTTCCTATCAAACATCAATATTGTAAATAATTTTGAGTAGTCTTACTCACTTGAATATGGCATTGTTGAAAAAATGACTCTTAATCTTTTCTCTTGCTTCCTAACAAGCAACCTTTGTACTGCAACTTAGACGCTTCTGTACTAAAGCTTAGCTCGTTGGGAAAAGTGACTACTTGATGATTTTTTTGTTTAACCAGATCAATTATTTGTCAACAGTTAGTCTAAAATGAACCATAAAAATCAAAAAAATATTTATATATATATATTTTATGTTTTCTGTAGCTTTATGTTTAAACACTGCTGCTTGAAGTCCCATCAAACCTTGTGATTCATCAAACATTAACTTTGCAATGCAAAAGTATATTTTGATTTAAAAAAATATAAAAAAAATATAAAAATACTAGAATAATTTGAAAAACACTAATGGTCCCAGTCTTATTCAACTGAAACAAAGCATGAAGCGCTAAAGAGAGATAAATATTATCACTATGCATTAAAGAACTGTTTATCATTATTTGACATTGATCATCTGATGAATCATAATATACCTTGGGACTGGGTAACTACCTTGGACTAACTACCTTGGGACTGGGGTTGTATAATATATCCATTTTTATAAGTTTGTTGGATGTAGTGAGTTAGCTAATAAGTTAATTCAATAAGCTAATTAAGTAAGCTAGTAATATTATAAGCTAGTATAGTAAATAATAATATTATAAATTAATAAGCTAATTAAGTAAGCTGAGTTTGTTGGATGTAGTTAGTAAGTATAGTGAGTAAGTATAAGTAAATAGTTTTTTTTCAACTGTGTTACTCACTTTCTGAACCTTAAATTCGGCTCTAGCCAGTGCTTCTGTTTGGTGTTGGGCTAAGCAATTCTTTCTCCTCTCGTCTAATTGTTATCATTGGTTAACAGACTTCCCATTATTAGAACCTTTTTTTTTCTCTACGCATTTCTTATATCCTTCTTCTATGCGCAACATGAACATAAATTGACAACATGCAGTTAAACTATAAGATAGTTTAACTGCATGATGTCAATTTATGTTCATGTCGCGCGGACAAAATTAAAAGATTTTAAAACTTACATCACAGGGTACCTTAATGTATATCACCCCATATAAATGGCGCTCTCGGGTCAGCTAGGTTGGCATTATCAGGATCTGTGCTAACCATAGATTTTGTTTAATTAGTAAATTAAACAAAATTATCTGCAGCCGCAACCGATGATTTTTTAAACAATGGTTACTGAGTAATTTTAAATTTAATTAAAGCACGCTACAATACGAAAATTTTAAAGAGTTTGTAGTTACTTTTGTATAGATGGGTAGATAGATATATAATCTTTTTTGTCAATATAAATTTTTTTTACAAAATTGTTAACGTAACAAATTGACTGGAGCAAGCAGAAGACGATGTCTAATCATCTTATCCCGTTAATTTCAATTTATTTTACTATAAATATCAATTAAATATAAGATAAACAGAAGTTATAAGATATTTATATATATATAAATATAAAAACTCGTATGATTAATGTTGTCAAGTAAATTTATCTTTATAAGTATAAATACAATTAAATGCATTTTTATAAATATAACCATAAGCATTTCCAGCTATTGTGTAAATGAAAAAAAAAATTTTCAAGACATGTAAAAGTTTTAAAAAAATGAGAGATTGATTTAATAATGTTGAGGTCAAGTACCTGTTGTTTAAAAACGCATTTAAAATGTTGAAAAAAGTTTATTGTTTCAATCTCATTTGTGAGAAATGAGTTTCACAATTGTGGTCCTCTTTTTGTGGTCAAATTTTTTATGTCCAAATTATTTTTCAATTTAAAAATATACTGAAGGATGCTATAGATGTTTTGTTCATAAATATTAAGAACTCTCAGTTCTTTCATTATTTGTTTAGTACTAGCATATCCATTTGTGATTATGCGGCATGCTTGCTTTTGTTTTTTATAGACTAAGGCTAGTTTTGATTGGTAAATACTTGACCAGGCAATATTGCAGTAGCTAATGCAGCTATGAACAAATGCAAAGTATAAACTTTTTAGACATACTTCATTTAAAATATATTTAGTTTTATGCATAATCCCAATTCTTTTAGATATAATATTTTCTTGATATGCTTTTTCTAGCTAATATGTTTATCTAGAATGACTCCTAGAAACTTCACAGAAAATGCTCTTTTTAGTTTTGTTTTTTCAACTAAAATTTTTGGAAATTTTAATGGTAACGTGTCTGGCTGATAGTTTTGTGAAAAGAATGTATTCGCTTTTTTCAATGTTCAAGGAATATTTGTTAGCCTTCAACCAATCGCTTAGTTCTTCAAGCTCTTGATTTACTATGTTAAAAATAGTTTTAATATTTGAATGGGAGTGGAAAGCTTGGGTGTCATCATCAAAAAGAATAAAATTCAGTATACAGGAAGATAAAAATAGGTCGTTAATATAGACAAGAAAAAGAAAATGACCTAGAATAGATCCCTAGGGAACGCTACAAGTAATGGTTTCAAGGGAAGTGTAAGTTTTATCGTAATATAAAGTTTGTTTCAGATTCTTTAGATAACAACTAAACCATTTCCCAGTGGGCACAGCGACGTTGGATTAACGTTTAAGCGACGTCGAACGCGACGTCGCATTAACGTTGGAAATGGAAAGTTGGATCGACGTTAATAGGCGATGTTATAAAGATGTAAGATTTTGATGTTTAGGCGATGTTGTTAACCGATGTAATTTTGACGTCGAATTGCGATGTAATAACAATGTAAACATTCGATGTAGCTGCGATGTTGTATGCGACGTCGCATCTATGTTGGAAATGGAAAGTTGGATTGATGTTAAAACACGATATTAGCGCGACGTAAAAAAGCGATGTTAGCGAACCATTTATAATCAATGATATTTTATATTAAGTTTCGAGTTTTGGAAGTTAAAAGTAAAATTCTACTAAATTTTAACTTTCTTTTTAAACTCCAAACTTATGTTTTATGCATATTAACGTTTTAGTAACGATTTCTAACGTTTTAGTAACGATTTCTAACGTTTTAGTAACGATTTTTAACTTTTTAGTTTATACTCCAGCTGGAGTTTAAATTCAAATAAAATAAAAAGTTAGAATATAGTTTTGGTATTATAATATATAATATAATTTTTAAGTTAACAAGTAATTTACATTTTATGCTTTTATAATTTTAAAGTTTTATACAGAAAACCGCCTTCCACCTGTGGCCTTGTCTGGAGCATAACGTAAAATTTCTTTTACACACTTTATCACGTCTTCTTTAAAAAACTTTCTATCTTTCATTGCTGCACCTGAAGTAAAAAAAAAATGCTTGAAACAGTTATTTTATTTTTAATTTATACCAATTGTAAACGCTGACATACCAAAATAATAATGTTAACATATCGCGACCAGAGAGCTTATTTGTTTTAACTCCATTTGAAAATGTTGGGAGAAAATAAGGAATGACATTAAAGATAAACGTTTTAGACAATAACTTTAATAAATTTAAATTTTAAATTTTGTTGTTTATATAACTATTGAAAACTTTAATATTTTACTACTTATTTATAGAAAATAACAAAAGAAAAATTAAATATGAATTAATGAAAGCTCTTATAGCATACTAAAAGGGGTTAAAACAAATAAGAACTTAGTTTACAATATAAAAAAGCTTTTCAAAACTAAAATAATTTATAAAACGTACAGCACACAACTTTGCATATATTAAGACTTTTAAAAGCTTCTTTACTTGGTCTTGGCTCTTTATTTTTTTCGAGGCGATTAGTTCCCCGAAAATTAAACTTGGCCAACACATCATACGTAGCCACACTAAAACAACATATTTCTATTAATATTTTAATATCAGTAACATAAAGAGGTTGTGAGTCCATAGCACTGTAACAACAAACCTTTCCATAATATTCTTCACAACATCTTTAACATCTTTACCCCCAGCAGCAGAGAGTGATAAAACCTGATAAAATTAAAAAATTGAAATAAAACTTAAACACAACATAAATATTTTATTTTATAACATTTAAAATCAAAATCAATTTTCATGTTAGTAGGTATGTTAATTACGGTAAAGTCCCGAAGGCACTATTAAAATACAGACATTTTGTTACTTATTGATTTTCTCCGGATCTTTATGACAATTATCAATATCATAAATTCAAAAAGTAATTTATTAACTAGTTTATTAAATTCTTCTTCATCTTCTATTTTCTTCTCTAAATTGTGTAACTCAGTTAAATCACATACTGGGGATACTTCTTTAGTACTCCAACTGTTGAAGATGTTAAATTAAGTAAAATTTTCTCAATACTTTCAGGTCTTTGATCTTGTTTGATCAAGTATTTCATTACTTTTGCTTGAAATTCTGAAAATATAAAATCACAACTTTGAGATAAAAAATTTATTATTTTTAATGTGTAATAATTTTAATTTAAAAAAAAGTTCAAAATGAAATAGAATTTTCTTTATTACATTTTATGTAATAAACAAAACTCATATCCAAAAAACCAGAAAAATATTTTAAACAAAAATATTCTTTTAACCCATAACAAAAAATACCTGACTCAGTTAAAGGAAACCCTTTAATTGGCAACATAGCTGCATCTTTTCTTATATACCTACTATTATTTAATTGTTCTTTCTAAATTAATGAAATCAACACCTTTATCGATTTTTATTAAATTAAAATTAATTGACAACTTAATTAATCAAACAAATATTAAATAACAATTGAATAAATTCAAGTATAAAAAAATGATAAAAAAAAAAGGTATCCATTATCAATTATAACATCACCAAGATGCAAAAGTCAAAAAAAGCTTAGATTAATAAATAAGAACTTAATCTGGATTTTATATGCATATATACATATATATTTTTTTATGCATAATTTAGTGCATATGCACAGTACCTCAGAATAGTTTTGGACTTGTGAACTTCCAGAGGTCTCCTCAAAATGAACCTGAAAAAAAATCTATTAATAAAATAAAACAATAATAGTATTTTAAACAAAAAGTTCTTTTTGTAAAAGAAATAATATTTATTTAGTATTGTGCATTGTTTAAATTCAGATGACTGATTTTTACCTCTTCATCATCTGACCATATATTGCTTTTCTTCAGTTTGCATATTTTCTAGTCAAAAGCATTAATAATAAAAGTAATTAATAAGAAAAATGATAGAAATTCATAGCATAACATTATATTGATTATGTTCATAACATTAGAAATTTTAAAGAATAAAATAAAAAAACTACTTAACAGCACTACTAGTGTTGTTGTTGCCTTCGAATAAATCAACTATATGTCAATCAGTCAAAAGTCAAAATTAGTCGAGTAAATCAACTCCAGATTTATTACTATTTGACTGAAAATCGATTTAGTCGGGTAATTATTCTAACATTCTTATTTCGATTTTTTTATTTGATTTAACTTCATCAACTATATAAATACATATTTATATTTGATTTAACTTAATATATAACTGTTCTTTAATAATAAAACTCTTTGCTTTGTTAATTGTAAAGCTGTGAAAAATTGTGAAAAGGCGGGTACCTGGGTACCCATTAAAATACAATATTTTTTTATAAAAGTTGTTATTCGAAAAATCAATAGAAAATACATTTATTTAAACTATTGAAAATTTTAACAAGATCTTCAAGATCTTCACATACGTAAAAGATTCACATACGTTGTTCATTGTGTTAAATTGACTTTACATACCTTTTACAATTAATGATTGTAAACATGAAAAAATATATATATAATTAATAAATTGTTTAAATATATATAATTAAAAGTTAAAAACGACTTGATTATTTTTATTACAATTTATTTTGCAATAATTTAAATTAAATAAATTTTTTTCTTGAAATATTTAGACTAAATCAACTTATATCAATTTAAAAATTGTGTTAACTAATTTCAGTAGACTTTTTAAAATATATTAGTCGATTTAGATGACAGTAGAATTTTTAGGTCGTAACCACACCAAATATAATTATACAAAACAATTAACTTTTAAATAATCGTTACTTGTTTTTCAGTTTCATTGCTGGAAAAAAAGGCTCTTTTTGATTTTGCCAACTAGGAAAAAAGTTATATCATCATCATCATCATCATCATCATCATCATCATCATCATCATCATCATCATCATCATCATCATCATCATCATCATCATCCTACTTTACTCTTTAAAACTACAGTTTATGGGAAACTCTTTTTGACTACCATGCAAGAGTATATATATATATATATATATATATATATATATATATATATATATATATATATATATATACATATATATATATTATATATATATATATATATATACATATATATATATATATATATATATATATATATATATATATATATATATATATATATATATATATATATATATATATATATATATATATATATATATATATATATATATATATATATATATATACTCTTGCATGGTAGTCAAAAAGAGTTTCCCATAAACTGTAGTTTTAAAGAGCGCGTTAATAAACCACACCAGAAAATATTTAAAAAGTTAAATTTTTTTTTTCTTTTAAATGATAGACTGCCTGCCCAAACCAAACCCTCAGTCCATGTAGCAGCACTCTCTTGCGAGTCAGGCTATTTGTCAGTCGATGTAGCAGCCCTCCCTTGCGAGTCAGGCTATAAGATAGTCGATGTAGCAACGGTTTTTTAAAAAATATTTAAAAAACAATAAAATTCAATGTACTTCCACATTAATTTAATTGCTTTGACATTTCGACAACAATCAAATACAGCTTAAGAGATGAGGTCATTATAATTGTAGTCGAAAGAGACTTTTTTTACATTAAAAGACTCTTTCGACTACACTATAAGGATATATATATATATATATATATATATATATATATATATATATACATATATATATATATATATATATATATATATATATATATATATATATATATATATATATATATATATATATATATATATATACATTAGCAAACAAATAGATTTTTAGATATTAGACAAATAGATTTAGATAGACAAGTTGTATATATGTAAACATATGCAGTTGAAATATATAGGAAATTTATATATGTCAACTTAACTTGTTTGTGTATTAGTAAGTTAAAGACCTTAATCTTAATAATTTAAAAAAATTAACTTTGAAAAATTTCGTAGAAAACTTGAAAAATATTTAAGCAAAATAAAATGCATATACAAGAAAAATAATAATCTATAAAAAATAATAATGAAAATGATTTTAAAAAAGACAAACAAAATAAAAAGCAAAAAATATTACCTTTTACTATATTTATGGTTTATATTTGAAAAATGACTTTTTTCAAATATAAACCATAAATAAAGTCAAATAGACAATTATTGCCATGCTAGAATAACGTTGCAACTAAAAGAAATGTTGCAATTAAAATGTAATAGTTAAAAACTAGACATTTAATTATGGCATTATTCTAAACATTTACCAGACAAGAAGGAAGTACACATTTAAAATGTGATGTAAAATAAATGTAATATAAAATCTAATGTGATGTTAGAGATAATTGGAAATAATTTTTGGAAATTTTAAATTTGAACTTTTTTTTTTCAGAAAAAAAAATTCAGAAATTTCACAGAAAAAATACAGAAAAAATTGTATTAAGATGCATGTTTATAGAAAATTTTAGTAAACATGCATTTAATCCAATAGCACTTCTGAAACACACCAATAAGTTGAAAAAAACATCAAAAAATTAAAAGAAAAAAATATCCAAACAAATTTAAGTGACTTTAAATATATTAACATTCCATATTTAAACATTTAAATCCTAGAAACTTAACAAGTTGATAAAAACTACAAAAAAAACAAAAACTTATTAATATATAATAAGTTGAAATAAGCATCAAAATTTAAATGAAAAAATATTGCTTTCATATTGAAACATTAACAAGTATAAATCCTTGAATAGATAATAAAATTTACGCTCGAACAAAAAAACATAAATTTAAAAATATTAATATATTATTTCATGATTTACTTCAATTAGTATAAAATCATTATCTTGTTCTAAACAAACTAGTTTGTAGCAAATATCAGATAAAATTACAAATTTTCTTTTCATTTTATTGAACTTAGAGATTTTGTATATTCCAAAATCTGACAAGTTACATGGGATGGTAAAAAAATTATCAATAGCATGGAAAGAAATAACTTTGCAATCAAACTCAGTATCTGAAACTATTTCTATGATACGAACAATTTCATTTGATTTCAAAATAAACCAGCCATCACGATCATTTGGAATAATTTTGCCAGTGATAGTCTTAGAGTCATAAAAATCATTACTACTTTCTAACTCACTTAAACGTTTTGCTAATTGAACAAGAGGTTTATTTGCAAACTTTTTAACAATTTGAAGAAAATTCTCAAAAGGAAAACTTGAAAGATCATGAAGGCTGCAATTGTGATAAGAAACATCCTCATGCAAATGAAGCAAAGCATGAACATTATAAGAATAAAACTGTGACCCATAAAGCCTTTGAAGATTTAATACAAAACAAGACATTAATTTTTTTGCATAATCCAAGTAATGTTGTCGTTTCACTACATTTGAGTTGCTCATTAACGATACTGCAATACTTAAACACAGGAAGTTCTGGTAGAAATCTTTTGGCAAAATATCTTTTAAAATTATTGGTCCAGTGTAGAGCAAGAATTGTCGAAACTCTGTTGCTTTAAAGCGCTTAACTTCATCAAGTGAACGTGGTTGTTGTACAAATTCACCGGGCATTTTGCCATGATAAAAAGCCAGTTTATCAGAAATTAGTTTTTTTTGCTGACATGATAAGCGACATATACGTGGGCCTTCGAGGCAAAATTTTAATAGCCGCTTCATAACACCAAGGCAAACACAATGCATCTAAACAATAGCAAACTCTTTTACACACAAAATTCCATAATCAACCAAGGGAGTCCTTTCTAACTGATGAGGGCCACAGCAAACATTATTTGTTCCTAATGAATGATTTAAATAAATATATTCTTTAAATTGTTCATCACTTCGCAATTGACAATTTACTTCTGTAAAAATAACTTTTCCATCATATTCTCCTTCAATTAAACATCGTTCACATGAATGATACAGGTGTAGTAGATTATTCCCACCGCCTGAATTATTCCATCCCCCTATGAAAAGCTCAAAACGAGATTGCGCTTTCGGGTTATAAATGTTAGAAGTGTACCTAAAACGTCCGTACTACCTTTGTAAACAAACAAAGAGAAAAAAAACGTTTAGATGACAAGAATTTTAGAAACAAAGTTTACATAAAAGTAATATAAGAACGACGATATAAGAAAGTGTCGTAATGATAGAAAATAAACAACTATATACTAATAAGTTATTTATTTGCATGAAACTATTTTACAAATACTTTTATTAAATAACAGTATATGTAAAAGTAAAATTCAGACAGATATAAGTTATATCTCTCTGAATTAATACCTCTCCTTTATAAATCGCTCAATGTAAGAGAGTCTGATCTTTATTACAGTATAATGATTAAAATTCTACAACTATAAAATATTTAATAATTAGTTGATAGTTGTATAATTTCTGTTTAAACTGAATAAATTAGTTATATAATTATGTAAAATTAATTTACAAATATCTGTCTGAATTATACCATCCCCCTGAGTAAATTACTAAACTTGCCTCTGAATTATTTCCTTTTTCCTAGCTAATCATTTAATAAAAGATGGTGTGGTAATGGTATTGAATGATGCAATAAATAGTGAACAACTATAAACTTTTAGTTATATATTTAATTGAAAACACTTTAAAAAAATACATCTTCAAGTTTCAAAATTATTACCTTCCCTTAGTAAATTGTTTAAATTTAAAGTAAGACTGTGTAATAATGGCATGAAGTGATAGTAATCGGAATTATGCAGCTATATATCAATAAGTTATAAAATTATGTTAAAATGATTTACAAGTATAATGTCTGAATCATCACACCCCCCTAAGTAAATCATGCAATACAAAATGTTTGAATCTGGTATTGAATGATATGAAATATTTTTATATTTTACTGTAATTGGAAATTTCTAAAGCTTTTGATATTTAACTTGCAGGACTTTTTTTTTTACTATAGGAATATAGAATAAAAGTGTTATGCTTATTTTAATTAGTAAAGTTATTAGTCAATATTGTTTTAGCCTCATTTAAAGAAATTGTGATGTTATATTGGTATTTGATTTTTTTCCAAACTAACGCATATTAATTTTCTGCTATGTATATATGTTTTTAAGTTCTATGTTTGCTATTTCATATGTTCTACAAAAACTAGCATTGATTTATTTATATTTTTATTTAAAAAATTATTTGTTTTGTGCAAATTGAAAATTATTTATTTATTTAATAAATTTTTTTTCGTCTATTTGTTTTAGTTCGACGACAAGGTTCTGCTCTACTTCATTTTTTATGTTTAATTTGACTACTGTTGAAATATGGTTTTAATTTAGTAAATTTTCATGAATTGAAATTTACTTTATTAATCTTTTGGACTTTATTTTACTTTGGACTTAATAATATAATGATAATTTTTGTTTTAAGTATAAGAATATTAATTTCTTGCCAAAACTTTTAATTGAATGTTATCAAATTAGTAAATAAGGTGAAACTAATATTAAATACTTTCAAGTATTGCACGATCCGGATTTAATCCACTGCTGCAGAGTGGTAAACCTGCTACGAAAGAATTTGAATTTGTGTATATAATTGCAATTTAACTACAAAAATTTGCTAGAATCCATAAATATAAGCGTAATCAAATAAAAATCGAATTTATGATTAATAAGGCCCCTAAAGCAGGCAAAAACAGGAGTAACCGTCAATAATATTGAGTATTTTAGATTACTCAACGGTTTACGTTATAGAAAAAACTACTTAGGTTACAATCATATAATATATAATATTGATTATACATTCAATAGTAAGAAGAGTTGTCATCGCTAAAAACCAGGGCAACAAACGCTTAAAGAAACTAGAATGGCTAGCATGTAATGCAGGGAAGGAATATTTATAAACCAATAGTTAGTTTGCTTGAAGCCGAACAGCTTCAAAAATAATGATGCGTTTGACAAAAGTTACAAAAATAAAGTTTTTGAAATAATCAAAATTAC